GTTCTTCAACAGCCAAAGCTTTATGGGAGAGTGGCAAAGACAAAGGTACTGTTGAAAAAAGCTCAAATTAATTCGTAACTTTAGTTTGCCAGAAAGTCTGTGGGAGACTGTTAGGTCAACTAGAAGAAGGTTCTTTGGTCTGATAAGACCAAAATTATATTTTTTGGCCATCAGACTACATGTTAAATTTAATGGACACATCATTACAAACACACCATCCCCACTGTGAAGCATGGTGGTGGCAGCATCATGGTGTGTGTGCTGTCACATGACTGTTTGTCGCAGCCGAGTCATTATTGGCCTCCTCCTTGGCTGAGGAGAGCAAAATTTTTATTTTTAAAAAAATTTTGCTACAGCAACTCTACATTTTAAAAATGAAACATATAAAATAAAGTGATTTTGATGAAATATTCTGATTTTAAGCTTTGATTTGGATCATGTTCAGCATGTCGCAGATGAACAGTTCAAGGACCATCAAGAAAGGTCAAAAAATCTGACAATTCTTTCTGTTTTTATGGTTTCTTGCTCTGCAAAATGGTGCAATTTGGGTGATTTTCAAAACGATAACATGCCTCTCAAAGCCACCGGCAACTTGTGGGGTTCAGAAAGTCAAATGGCATAATTTACATCTAATTTTTGTATCCATGACACAAAAAGGGTTTGTGCCGGTTGGAAAAAAAAAAAAAAGCATGAGTCATACTGATGGAGGACTGTGCTCACAGCCATGACCTTCAGTCCAATACAAACTGGGACTCAAAGTAAGCACAAACCTGAGAGTGTGAGTCCACTGGTTTGTCTGGTGGTGGCCAGTCATTGACTCTCTCTCTCTCCCTCCCTCTCTCCCTCTCTCTCTCCCTTTCCCTCTCCCTCTCTCGCTCTCGTTCTCTCTCTCTCTCCCTGTCTCGGTCCCGGTCCCGGCTCTGCTCCCGGTCTCGGTCTCTGTCTCGGGATCGCTCGCGGTTTTTCCGCCGGCTGCCGTGGTGAGAGGACGACTTGGAGCTCCTCTGCAGCGACAGATGTTCTTGTCCGTTCCCAGGAACCTGAAACAGACGTGCAGGAACATTACTCTCTCAGTCACAGTCACTTTCATGATGTCTCACTAAAAATTAAACATCAAATCCCAGCGAGTTCCTTCATGCACCCCTTTGGCAGCGACAGACAAAACACAAGGAGGTGGTGATGGCGAATACTGATGATTTCATACAGTACATGAAAAAAATGCACTGGTTTTCCAAACGTTTTGTGTCTTCTGTGTTTTCATAAATTCCACAAGTCATTCATTTCATTATCAAATACTGTGGTGATTATTATGTGTTAGAGTAACTGATTAGTCATTAAATTAAGCTGATGTTTTGTCAGATCAACTAACTAAAAACAAAAAGAGATTCAATTTGCAGGATATAAAAGAAAGAAAAGCAGCAAATGCTCACTTTTGTGAGTCTGAAACGGACAAACATTTGGCATTTCTGCTCTAATTGACTTCAGCTAATTTGAACAGAAAAGCTTTAGAGGTGCTGATATGTGGATTTTGTCACATTTGGAGGGAGCTCACATTCACTTTCTGTTTCTAACCCTTGTGCTGAGCTAACTAGCTTCATATATAACAGACAAACATGACAGTACAGTTTTATTCCTTTTATCAAATATGATTCCAGCACTATTGTACAACACAGAGTCCACAAATTTCTACATTCTGAGTTTGGATGCGTGTGTGCGTTCCTACACTTAGAAATGTGCTGATCGTATGACATAATGATGTGACAGTGTTGGCCTCACAAACAGCACACACTGCAGCATGGAGTCAGTGTCTTACGATGCAGTGTGAGTGCAAGGTGACTGCATTTGACACACATTACAGCAAGATGAAAGATGCACAAACAACGTGCAAAAACGTATTTGAAATCCTTTCAGGTTGGACGATTTCAAACGAGCAGTGTCAGTTCACATGCAGCCGTAGTGTCGAGGTTAGATTACTGGTGAGGCAGGGTAGGGCGCGGTAGGCTGGTGTTGTACCATAGGCGAGGCGACTACGGGTAGGACTTTGACAGCTGAGTTGTGCTTTAAGCTATTCTTAGAGCTAAACAGGGGGAAAAGGCTTTTCTTGATGCTGGGGTTCCTCCCGTCCTCCATGTCAGTCTGTGGAGCACAAGATGCACAGCCACAACTCTCAACACACATCTCTAACAGCAAACAGAAACACAACTGCAGCAGCTGATCCTCAATCTTTAGAAATATCAATTAGTAGAGAGATACAGATATAAAAACAACACCAGTAATACCATGAATATTTGTACAACAGGGAAAACACAATATGGAAGGACAATTCTGTGGAATTACACTTTGTGCCTTATTTTCATACATTTGGTCATGACTTCTATAAATTATAAATTAACTGACATGGTGATAAATAAATAAGATAAATAAGAAATTAGCAGTAAGGTGCTAGTTGGTCTGAACCATTTTGTTTTGTTGGCTTTTCCTAATCTCTCATTGCACTGGAAAATGCTAAATGTATTTTCAGTCATTTAATTTGTAATCTTGGAAAATGCAGAAAAAATAGAAACACTCTTTCTTCATTAAACCGTATACTATTCTTCTGACATTGCTTTGCTCTGTCTTTTTTTATGTAACAGCAGCAGATGAAAATAGGCATTTGTTGAAATTCATTAATTAAAGACATGTGGTTATAATTTACATTATGTTTTGATTAAAACTGGACTTCTGCAAACGTGCACGGACAATCCAGACAATATTTTTTACTGTTTTGTTGTCTCTTCCTGGTAACCTTTGGTACAATCTGTCTAAATGTCTGACTGTGTGTGCTTCCTGGCTCATGTATTTCATTGTAGTGATGTGTTCCCAGATTTTAGCAGTTAACTTGATGAGTCCAACATTATTATTACCGGCAGACTACATAGAAAGAAGACTCATGTTATAATAAGTTAGTATTACCCTTTAGCACTCTTGGTGGTTAATATTAGTGTTCACTCACACAATGCTGTAGTTCGTTTTAAATGTTAAACGCATATAAAACACTGATTATCGCTCCATCATTCCAAAAAAGCATGAAAGTAAAAATAAAAATACAGTTTGCAGACAAAGAGAACAGTCCCAGGAACCAAAGGAAAATTGTTCCTGTGTGTTCTGGAAGAACTGACAAGTTATAGGATCTTACTATTTGTGTCTTCTTCTTTTTCTTTTTAATGGCTCTGAAGAAGCCTTGTTTTTCCTTCTCTTTGGTGGGCTCTGGAGGATTCATGACCATTGCCTCTGCAGCGGTCCTGCACAGAAAATGCGGAAATGTCACAACTTGTGTTTGCAATTACAAGCTCAGGATTAAATGGAGTCACAGGCCTGACAACAACCTAAGCAGAAAATTTATAGAGTATGAACAAACAGGCCTGAAATAACACCAACAGCACAGGGACGGATTGTAACTGTATTAACACGCTGAATGATTATTCATATTATTCACTTTTCACAACAGAAAATGTGGTAACTCTTCTCTTGATTCATCATCTATTTCAATTCATTTCATTTTAGTAACTTTAAGAACCCATCAGACATGGAGGATGCTTGACAAAAAAGCACGAAGGTCATTTAATCTCAGATCACCACATTTTCTGCTTGACCATCTCTGATTAGCCAGATTTTTTTTAAATCATAAACTCTTAATATGTATAAAGATATTTGTGAATTTTCAGGTTGACATATCAAATACTTTCCAAGTTAATCTCCTTTTGAAAAAGAAAAATGCCTGCTGAACCACTTTCCCCACATTTTTTCACAAAGTAAAATTTGAAACCATGTTCGAACCACAACATTTTAGGAACTCATGAAGAATCAAGCCTGAAAAATTCACAGTTAGTTCTCATTGTGACATTTATTCTTTTCATGACCATGTCACCTTTTTTCATGTTTCCACTCACCTATAATCAGAGACCATTTGATCTACTTGTTCAATATTACAGATTTTGGATAAGTGGCAGGATAAGAAATAACTGTCAAAATGTCAGACATTTATCTTTAATAGTTCCTGAGATAATGTCACTTAAACAGCCTCAAATTTAAAAATTCCCATGTGTGAAGAAAGGTGCCTAAGGTGGGTCGGTGGGCAGTTTTTGAAACATTTTTTAAATCTTGGAAGTATTTCATATATCAAGCTAAAATTTCCACAGATTAAAAGATGGTCAAGCAGAAAGCCCCTGACGATGTGAAATGGTAAGACCCATAAGTTTTCTTCAAACTTCGATGTGCTGCATTTCCGAGGCACTTTGTGCTGTAGATGCAGTAAATAGTTTGTTTAGCAACATGTGCTGAGAACACCTGCAAAGGTACATGTTCCCTAAATTCAACTTTGATCATACACCTATTAGAGTGCTGTGTGAACTTGCCACACCAGGTCAACAAATCAATTCTCACCAGTCAAAAGCTGTCTGGCGTTTGGAGTGGTTGGCCATGGCAACAGGGTCGCCAGGTACAACGGGTACCACCGGCCCTCGACCCTGGCCGACTCCATCGTGGAAAGACGACGAGTTATCTGGTCTGGGGGAAGGAACTGAAGAGAAACAAGGGGGAGAGAAAATGACTGAAAGTGTGTATTTCTGCATGACTGATTTATGATGTTTTCATGAGTGACTTCATGTTCTTCACATTTCCCAAAATCCAGCCTGTCTGCCTCATCTGATTAAGTCCAAGCTGACATTTCTTCCTTTTATTTAGGGTTTCTCACACTATAGCTGTAAAACACAATGACGTATGGCAAGTGTAGAAGGAGACCCTTGTTCTCAGAATATAAAGGCTGACATTCACTGTTGATCTCTGAGAAACTCCCAATGTTTTCCCCCTGCTCAGTTCTTCAGAGCAGCTCCCTAGTTTCGTGTCATTTGACCTTTCATCAGCATATTAAAAAATATACTGTTAAACAATAAAATGTGTTAAATGTTCCTTGGTTTATAAAGATCTGGGTTTAGATGTATCTGTTTACTGTCTGCAGGATCACAACTATACACAACAGTAAGCTGACATGTCCTATTTATTAGGTCAACTCCAACTCTCAAAACTTTACTTTATGCTTTTATTCAATTAAGGCGACTGATATTTATGAAAATAACATTAATGAAATGACACCACTTATCAGAATCATGACTTGTAAAGTAAAAGTCACTGATCATCCTTGAACTATTCTTGTGTGATGCATTGTTCTGTCAGAAAACTTAACCAAACCCTATCTTGATATTATATTTAATCAAATTCTTATATCAATATGTCCAATTAAAAAATTTGCAAAAGACCATTTGCTCTTTTCAAAGATTTGCTAAAAAAACTAAATCCTTTGCAATTAGTGCTTCAGCTGTGACCAACAGTCACCTAACAGAAAATTCTGTGACTTTTCTGCTGAACTGGGCTGAACTGCAGGCTGTGTATACACAGAACAGACAGTAGACACAATTGAACACTATTAAAAATGTAAAATGTGTGTTTTTCTTTTCTTTTCTTTTTTGTAAAATGAATCACCAAAATCCCACTTTTCTTTTTTATGATAAATGGTATTACAAATTTATGATATTGCCAAAAACATTCTGAGTTCTCTCTACTTCTAGTCATGGCTGTGCTCTTTTCATAGACCTTCGGGATTTCATATTGCAGTGAAAAATAAGCCCACAGTGAGGGAAAATGTGACAGGAGCAGAAAAAGTACTCAACTGCTTGGGGTTCAGAGGGTTAATTACAATCCCACTAAAAATGAACATTAAGTGGGCATAATAGCATGCTGATGATAGCTATTCTTGTTTCTATCCTCTATTTTAGCTCTTTAAATCATCATTTACATGCATCTTTTGTGCTGTCTTGTATTTATTTTATATCTTGTCTGATTTCCTCGATCTGTGTTATGTAAAGTACTTGTCGTTTTGTTGCAACAGATACAAATCAATGTGTCTTTCCTAAACATCAAACACATGTGATTCCTTTTCCTTACCTCGGTAGAAGCTGCCGACTCTCCGAGGCATCGACTCAGTGAAGATCATCCGGTTCTCCTTGGATGAACCTCCATCCTCGACATGCGGGTCGTGATACATGCCGACCTATGAAACACACACATGGTGCAGACACACAAACATACATAGACACAGGACCAAACAAAAGTTCCTCAGTATCTTCAGCTTTGTGATTAATGATTCCATTTGATCTCACTTATAATTAGCTATCACATCCTTTACTGACTCGCATCACAAGACATTCGGGACAATCTTAGAGCTTTTCAGCGAGGTTACATTTATACCAGCGACAACGTGCAGTGAAGCTGTTGACCTGAGTAGAAACAGAAAAAGCTATGGAAACCAGCAGTCAGAAGGGCTACTGTCTGGAGGTAGGGAGGAGTCGGGGGGTCGGACCTCGTTTTTAGAGCGCTGTGTATGAAAAGCAGCAGTGTTGTCCCTCGTAGAGTCTTTGATGGGGGCACAAGGGTGGCTCATGTCTTTAGGGGACTGCTCACTCTGTTGAGAAGACGGACAGGCGCAGGTCAAAGCAGACTGGAGAAGCAGCATGAAGCAGTGGCAATGACAATGTGAGACAGTGACAGTCCCTGCACGCACACATCAGCTCGTGAAATATCCACACGCACACACATCTTCAGTGCACATGACAAAAAGGAAAAATTCACCCTTTGGTACTCTGAATTTTTTTTTTAACATCTTGAACAATATCTTCAGCACAATTCAGGATATATAATTATTGTGTGTTTGTGTGATTTTTCATCAGCCTGTCTCAACTTCTGCTTCTGTAGCTTAGAAAAGATCTTCTACAACAGCACTGACTTATTTCATTCAGATGTGGGTTTAAACTGCAGGAGGTGAACTTCAGTGACGAGTGTGAAGCAACACAAAGGTTTTCCAAAACTTAAAACTGAAGCTGCACTGCCTTAAGCTCTTAACCAATCCTGAAAACTGAGTTAAAATAAGCAACAATTGGCCACAGTGCCCTCTTAATGCCTCTTGCCACACCTTGTTCTGGGCATCTATTTAAAAACATATACTTTTAAGATATTTAGTAGGTTTTCTATAAAGATGTATATAATAATAGAGTTATGTGAGGAAAGATGGTATAACTCACAGAAATTGTTGACTTTTTCATCATATTTGAAAAAGCAAACATTCGATCCTCTTTGAAACAGTGCCAACATATAAAAATCTATATTCAGAAACAAATGAGACCGAAAACTAAACTGTGTAGTCATTTTCCACTTTCAAATGAATAAAAAAAAATTGCATGGAAAAAAGTAAGCACATTTATCACACCTTCAGATCCATAACATTATAATCACATGTTCCAGATTAGGTGCCAGTAATCAGAATCTCTTAAGGGAGTGACAGGTGGACTGTGTGATATCTACAGTCTGGTGTTCTCTTTGCTATTAAAATGTGTGGTGTGATTGTGCCAAGATTTAAAGAGTTCTCTAAAGATTACAGGAAAAAAAAGGTTACAGATAACTATGGGTCTTGCAAGAGATTTTCACTGAAAGGGAGTTCATGTACAAGTGCCTTGGATTCCAAACATCTGCCAGTTTGTCCAGTTTGCTCTCCTGCTGTCCAAAAAGAACATTTAAGGAAATGCCAATGAGCAAACAAAAGGCCTTTTAAAATAATGTGCCCTGGACAGACCAATCCAAGATAAAGCTGATTGGCCACAGTACAAGTAGACCTCATCAGCATAGACTACAGGAAGCTTTTCAGAATAACCTCATACCTACAATGGACCATGGTGGAAGACATGCTATGCTTTGTGGTTGCTCCGCTGCCTCAGGCAATCTGTCCAGAAAGTTGAAATGGAACCCAAAATGGACCTTTCAACAGGATAATGAGCCTAAGCATACAGGCATATCCACCAAGGAATGGTTTAAAAAAGAAAAAAAAAGGAGCATTATGAAATGGTAGTATCAAAACCCAGATTGGAATCCCACAGAAATGCTGTGGGGGGATTTGAAATGGGCCATACATACATGCAAGAAAGCCCTCAAACATCTTGATGAAAGAATTTTGCAAGGAATAGTAGTCAAAAGTTCCTACAAGCACATGTCAGAGATCAGTGGATGAGCACCTACAAGAAGTTATTTCTACTAAAAGGGGCAACAGTAGCTTCTGAGGCCATAGGTGAGCTTACTTTTTGCAGAAGAATATTGTATCTATTGACATTTTTGCTAAATATGCTAAATTGCTAAATATCACATTTATCTGTAGGCACTGAATCAAAGTGACATTAATTTGTATGAGACGTTCCAGTTCTGCCCAGCTGTATACAGCACGCTATTTGTAGAAGATAAACTTAAAATTAGCAAAGTACATTTATCTGTCAAAAGTTTAAAGAAATATTTTTAAAAAATGAATTCTGAACACAGATGTAGCTGTTACCATGGAAACAGTAACAACTCCTCATGTGTTTGCTACCAGAAAAGAAACAAACAACCATATGATACAATGGACCCTAATGGACCCATTTTTACAGTGTTAGCGTCAGTATTTTAGGGTGAATGTTTCTGCTCACCACCACCACCACTACACTCGCTCACTGCCACTAACCCTGGTCATGTCATCAGTGCAGTCCTCTCTCGACGAGCTCACTGAGTGTCCAGTGAGGGTGGTCCGGTGCTGCAGCTGAGGGGACAGGAGCTGCAGGCTACTGGCTCGGGTCGGTATTGCCTGCCCAGGAGCAGGCAAGCCCGTCATAACACTCTCGCCCCCGTGCGGTCGGTGGCGTTCCCTTCTCACGTACATGGAGTGCCTCTGGGGCCGTTGCTGGGAGGAGAATGGGGAAGTGTATCCCAGGCCGTAATGATAAGACTCGTGTGGGGAAGGCAGAGTGTGAGTGGAGGGCATCCCGACTCCTCCTGGGTCTAGGAGCTCTGGAGCACCAGCATCTTCTGGGCAAAAGAGAAGAGATCAAGCAACAAATTTTCTTTCCCACATCTAAAACAAGGGTACTTCAAACAGTTCTTTGCCTCCTCCGGAAACAAGGGATGTAACTCTAATTTTGGCCATTAACTGTAAACTATAAAGCCTTATATCACTGTTCACAAAAACTCAAACGTTTGAAGCAATCAAAGAATAAAGGAGAGGAAAGCTTGGAGCTGGACTGATGTTGCTCCTGGACAATGAGTCCACATGGTACAAATGGCAGAAGCAGCCAAATGTGGTTCTGAACTGCTGCCCCATGAACTCACTCGACCATCTGACTTCTGTTTCCCAAACTGAAATCTCACTTTGCCATTTTGAGAGTGATGAGAAAGTCATGCAGGCTGTTGAAGAATATCTGGTGAATCAAGGTGTGAGCTCCCTCCGTATAGGTACAGCGAAGCTTGAACATCAGTGGGCCGAGTGCATTGAAGTTAAAGGAGATGAGGTGAAAAAATAACGTAACAACAATATTTCTCCTGTGACGTTTTCTGGTGAGGCTAAGAACTTTCTGAAGTGCCCTCATATTATTTAATGAACTGTTAAGTCTATAAAATGTGAAAAATAACCAACACCCAACACCCAACACCCCAAATATTCAGATAAAGCAGCTAACCTCCTGGAAACTTGAGATCATCAGTTATTTTGTAGTTTTGATTAATCTAATGTCAGCATTACATTTCATCTATGTTCTAACTGGTGCCACATCGGATACTAAGTCTGTACAGAGACAACCCAACCCCTAACCCAACTGAAATGAGGCAAAACATGGACTTGCTGTCTCGCACCTTTATCAGTAGAGGATGTGAATGTCACAGACAATATGTTAACGACTGGACCTCTATGAGGCTGCTATTGACTCTAGTGTACAAAATTGGCTCTTCAACGTACCTGGAGCTAAAGATTTATGTCTGGATTTGTGTCTGGATGAGGAGTCCAGGGTGCTGCTCTCCATGCGGGCGGTGCCGCTGCTACGAGAGGCGGGGCTGTGGCCGGATCGGTCGCTGTGTCGAGCAGAGGGGCTTCCTGGGGGTCCCTGAGGACCTGAAGGGGCGTTGAGGTCTAAGCAGCTGGCGGGGAAGAAACGGGCGCCAGGACCCACCCCAGCTGTCGTGTTGGCGTTCGGGTCGTCCGGGTGGAGTCGACCGTCACTAAGGTTCCCTACAGATTTGGCGTCGCTCAGTGCACTGTGGCTCTTGGACAGGCTGAGATAGGAGGCCGAACTTTTAGATGACGACGACATGGATCCGTGGGCGGAGTCTGCCATGCTGTGGGCGTGTCGGCTGTGTTGTTTATCTGCTCCAGACTGCAGGGTGTTCGTTTTGCCTTCTAGGAAAGTGTGTCGGCCGACCTGCTGCTGCTGCTGCTGCTGCTGCTGTTGCTGCTGAGAGCGAGAGGAGCTTTGCTTGCTGTGGCCATACTTGGCACCGTGTCCCTGGTCCGACAACTTTGGGGAAGGTCCCAAGCTGAAATCAAACTCTGTCTTGTTTTTGGATTCCTTGGGACTGAGGAGGTGTGGCAGGTTGTTGTTTGCCAGGTCTTTGTTGGATGAGGCAGAACGATTGAGGGTCTGGGACAAGTACTGGCCCTTAGGATGTAGCGTTGGACTCAAACTGGTCGGGGCTGGTTTGTTACCATTGAGGAAACTCTCATTGCCGAGGTGATGGAGGTCCCCATGGCGAGGAAGGCTGGAACATTCTTTGCTGTTGGAGCGACGGCTTGAACTCTTCGTGTGACTCCTGGAGGGTTAGAGGGAGGAACGTTTGGCATGATATTAAATTACTCCTCGTCATATTGGATAGAAACTCGCTGTTTTTGTGAATGTTGCCAACAATCCTGCTGCTGCTAACAGTCTCAAAAAAATCGGATTGGAAAAAATGTATTGGTGGAAATAACATTTTACCTATTTAATAATAGCTTATAAAAATGTTATGATAGTTTATTTTAAAAACTGCTTGCAAATGCTTTATTTTGTAATTGCTCAAGTATAACATAGAATTGAATTTGGCTTTCATGCAAAACAAGAGCAAATATAAATTTCCACAGCAAGGTGATAAGAATGACATATTTCTTTTCTCAAATAGAAGCAGCCACGAAAACGATAATTTTACATTTGTTTAATTTAGATATTTGCAGGCGTGTAGCATAGCTGCGCGTGTATGCTGTGTAAATTCATGCAATATTCATTCTTTCTATATCAGTTAAGTGTACATTTAGAAAATGTACCAAAAAACATTTCTTATTTCATTATTCAGATATGAATTTCACACAAAAGTTTTTCTTTTACTATTTATTCATTCTTTGTGTGACCTGCAAGTTACTGACTCATTTGCTTGATTCAGTTTTGCTAGCCTTGACTTTAATTTGTTCAGAGGAATATGTTCATGTAGATTCCCAGCCATCGAGGTCATTATAACAGCTTCAGTACAGAGTGACTTGACTTGACTTTTTTGGTTCTTGAAGAGGTTTCACCTCTTATTCAGGAGTCTTCTTCAGCTCTAACTGACTAATGCGGATTTACAGATATATATCGTCACCATAAAACCACGTGGCTAATGGAGAGTTAACCAAGACTCACATGTTTCAGGGTGTGAATGGTCGTGAAACTGCCAGGTCAGGAATCAATAAAGGTGCTAGTGGTGGTGAAACTTACTGGGAAGGGAACTCAGGACTGTGTTGTAAGGAACTGATAAGTGGTGTCGAGGACATCCTCCTCTGCTTAGAAATAGCTGTTTGTGTGAGTGTTGGATCAGCCAATCAGAACTGAAGAAGGCTCCTGGATGAAACGCGAGAGGTTTTCAAGAACCAAAAAGGAAAGTCCAGATGCTTTTGAGTGATGCTCTCAGGTCGTTCAGAGGAACTAAATGTGTAACTGACGAGCCACTGAAGTTGATGCAACAATAGAAAAATGCAGCAGGTTTCTAATTAAATCAGCGAGTCTGGTTATGGTGCAGCTAGGATGTCAGAACCTTAGTAATCTGTTTCAGTACTGATGGTCTGACTAACAATCCCGGTGACATTTCTGCCTTTATTTCACACCGAATACACAAATAAGTCAGTAACTTTTTTGTCATACAAATTGGACAGATTAAATGTCAAAAACCATATCACTGCATATACTGTGACACTACGGAAATACGGCAGACTGAATCAGCAACTTTTTTAAAATCTCAGCTTTAAACATACTTCTCACACTGTTTTTCCTCATTTTATCTAATTGTGCATTAAGTGTTATTCCGTTCATGGATTTTATCATTGGTAATTTCAATGTGTTGTGCTGTTTTGTACTTTTATTCTCTTTTTCGCTGCTTTTTTGAGTTTTTATTTTATAGTTTGTGCAATCTACGTTTACTATCTGAAGCCCTTTATTTTTGTAAGTGCTACCTAAAAAAGATGCTATTCTTATTACAGAGATTTCATTGTAAGCTAAGAGTTTGTAAGCTATGACTTCTCTATCGATGTGGCTACCCAGAGTAACAGATCAGCCAAAAAAAAAAAATCAGTTTAATTTTGAATTTTTACATGGTATTACATGGAAGATTGTATCCAAGTAGTCCAGCATTAGCTTCAGTGTTTAAAAAAACAGATTCAGACCGGTCGTTGGAAGACGACTACTAAGAAGTGGAAGTTGTGACCGATAATAAAAATAGAGGAAGGTAGTGTAACCTTGTAGGAACTGTGTTCTCTCCGTGATGGTGTGTTTTCCTCTTTGAGGATCGTGGTGGGTTGGGAGATGCAGGAGGAGGCCTCTCTCTCTCTGCTTGCCTCAGAGGCTGGAAGGCTGGATGGTTCAAACTCTGCTCCGTTAGATAACGCTCAGTGGGGTTTAGCAGCAAGAGATTCTTCGGGGGAAAGATGCACACATAAAGGGTTGGATTTATTTGAGTGATTTGTACCTCAATTTTGATCAATAAAAAATAAAATAAAATACAGGAATATGGGTGAATTTACAAGAGTGTGAGTGATTTTTTTTTTACCTTCATCAAATCCAACATCAAGCCACTTAGGATGCCTTGGTACCGTCTCTCCAAAGTCTGAGGATGAGTAACTGAGGGAAACTGGCACACAAACAAACACACAACGCCTGGATTGAATTCATATCCAACATAATTTTTTTTTGTCCGTTGAAGATTACTATTAGGATTTCCAACATACAGAAGATATTCCTTCCAGTTAAAAAAAAAAAAAAAAAAAAGCTCTCAGTTCAAATCGTACAGAAATCTATCACTGGATCACACTAAACAAACTACCAAGCACACACAAACGCACACACGCAAAGTCTTGCTCGGCCTTCTGGGACATTTTCTCTTGCCGCTAAACTGAACACCAACCACCTATCTCATGAGTCATAGCAATCCACTCAGTCATGGTGCTGGGAACACTGCCACAAAAGAGAGAGCGATAGAAGGAGACGGAGCTGAGAGAGGACTAAAGGAGGTAAAAGCAGAGAGGAGGAGGATGAAGGAGAACACAAGTGACTGCGGTTGACGGCTCCTACCCTGATTCCATGAAACCGAGGGTTGTTGTAGAAGAGTTTCATCTGTTCTGCTGGAAGTGGCCCCAAAACCTTCTGAATGGTGAAGAGCTAGAGATAAGAGGAAGAAGCATCACAGTATTTTTTCACATGTCTAAAATGCTTCTTTAACATTTCTTATTTTAAAAAAATAATAAAATAAATAATAATAATAATAAAATTATGAGCATTTAAAAAGACAAATCTGTAAAACTGTGCAAATTTTGAGCTTTTTTATTCTTGACTTTGGACACAGACTCACCTCCAGATCTATTTGTGTATAACTGTAACTGGAACATCTATGGTACATTTCCATGACAACTGGGCAAACTCTATCCACTTACGAAGACCATGTGACACAATCAAAAGCAGCAGCACAGCAATTAAACTAAATTTAAGGGGATTTCTTGTTTGCCTACTGCTGTTTTGGCGACTAAGGGGCAGCACAAATTTGACCTTTTGAACATGTTAAACATGGCGCAACGTTATTATTCATTTAGGTTGTGTTTCTGGCCACATAGAGCATATAATATTGTCTCTCTATAAAAACACCCCTTTGGGAGAAATATTTTTGTCTGTAAAAGCCAAACAATAGGAAGACGCTTAAAGGGCTCCATAAAGCTGAAAAGCAGCTGCAGAGTTGGGCTGGTTTCCAGTGGTTTTGTCACTATGAGCGACTTCTTTCATGTTAAATATACTTATGTGATTCATTGGCAACGACAAATACTGATTAGAGAAGGTTTAAATTGTTTTCTGCTCTGAGATTTCAGATCTACATTTGTCATTTATCACCCTCAACATTAAAATCATCTGCCTAATAATGTCTATGGCATCACTGTGCTGCCAAAACTGACCTACTGGACAAAGCAGACAAGATCTCCAGGGGTGTACTGCAGTGTCTAAACCCAGGACGTAGGCAGCAGATTTTCCATGGATCAGGTTTGTTCCAGTGCATCTCATGGGGAACTTGGTGTTCAGGTCAACATTTTGACCTATTTGTCATGTTCCTTAATGTTGTTCCTGAGCAGTGTTGGACCATGGACAGGTGGTGCTTAGTTTGAAGCTACGTTTCAGTGTTTTTTATTCGTCAAAGTACATCCAGATTAAAGCCAGAACACAAGATTTCCCAGCAGAACAGTGTGTTGTAACAAGATGATCAATGTCACCGGCTCTCTCTTTGTGGCTAATAAGTGTATATGCTGCAATGTTTACATTAAACATAAAGCCATGTATTAAACAGTGTTGGAGGTAGCATAGCACAAAGTACACATTACTGTAACCACAGTACATTTGTTTGGAATATAGTAATGTGATGCAGTACTTTTCCTAAAATCAGTATATTATATTAAAGTTACTAGTTAAAGTCAGACATACAAATGAGTCTTGTTCTTGCCACAACATCTTTCGATGAAGTGGTTTTTGGGCTTGTTTTCACCAGCTTTGCTTTTGTGGCATCACTTTATTAAAGATCTTGTGCATGTTGAGATTTGTGTTGATATGTGAGCATATAAGGTGAAACAACTTGGTAATTTCGTTGCTCTGTACTTGTGACATGTGCAATGACAATAAAGTTCTGATTCTGAAGTTCTGATTCTGACATTTTAATATTAACTGGCAGCTATGTGGCTCAGGTGACGTGTATGTAGGAATACCAAAGTAATGTGATGAGTAATGGAGTCAACAATTAAAGTAATACATTACTTTAATAAACGTCATATTTAGACAAAAATAAATCAAAAAGGACCCAGGTGTCTTTTTCCTAGGCTTGCCTTCCAGGAAGTTACATCTCCCTGCATCACAATAGGGACGCCTCAAGAAACTTCTCTTGATTGCTCGTAAATGCATCTTACACAAATGGATCCAAACTTCCTCACCAAGTATCACTGTGTGGTACAGAGAGATTGTTGACACCCTCCCTCCTGAAAGGTTACAGGCTGTTTTAAAGGGAAAGATGAATGATTTATGGATATATGGCCATCTTTCCTTGATTATTTACCAGGAGATTTGAAAAACCTACTTTTAAAGGGTAGGCTTCTATCTGAGTGGAAGACACCTCTCACAACTCCAGTCATGGGATGTACATGACACGATTACTGATGACTGGTTGCTCCAAACTGTTGTGCATAGAATGGACCGGAAACAATGCTTTGTATGATCTCATTTGATTAGTCAGTACATTTATCTGTATGTGTAGTCTTGTGTTGACTTTGTTTTGTTTTTTAACATTTATTTATATATTTTTGTTTCCTTTCACTCATTCACTTCTTTATTTCTTTATTATTGTTAACCAGTCTTACACAAGTATTGCTAGTACTTCTTATTATCCTTGTCCATGTTTTATTTATTTAGATTTTTTCCTCTGATGGGTTGTACGGCTGTCTGGAATAAGGACTTTCTTTGTTCTTTGTTTTGTTTTGTTTGTAAAAATACAACAAAAAAACTCAATAAAAAAGTTTAAAAGAAAAAAAAAAAAGTCATGAACAAAATGGAATGCATTAGTTACAACACTGATCATAAAAACTCCATCACGAGTGGATTCTTCTGTGTTTTGTTGTTTGATTTCATGTTTTTTTTTGTGCTTTCTTTATGAAACATGGACCTGCCTGGGGACTGCAGATGAAAAGCAGAAGCTTTTTGGCAAAGTCTGACAGATTTGTTTCATACTGATGGTTATTTATATGTGTTGTCCCTGATAAACTAATGGATAAAATTAAAAACGCAAGTGAAAATATTTCTATATTGGGTGTATATTTGTCTTTTGTCTCATCAAGAAAAGTGGTGATGAAGACAGAAGTCAGGGGAGCTCGTGTATCAGCGCATTGACCTGAAAGGGACGCACATTGTTCTCTTTAATTTTCTATTACAATCATCGAAATGGTAAAATAAATACATAATCCATTAAGCCTTGTCATGGTAAGGAACTGGGGCTGACACTGATTTATGTGTATTGATTCCTTCATGTGCACATTTTGAAATTAATTGTAAGTTGTTTGTGGGTCTACAGACTACGTTGAACTGATTGTACAGCCAGCTGGGACTAATTTGTGATTCTGGGATGTCTATAAATAAGTTTGGACTCGTTTTTTGTCTATAAAATTTGGGAAAATTAGGACAAATGCAGACCAACATTCACAAGAGCTCACCACATCATCTTCCAGTTGCTCATTTTTAAGAATCCAATCAAAAAGACACACACGTCTTTCTAATCCACGTGTTAGGAACAAAAAATTGTGACTCTGATTCTACCTCTCAAGTACTTGTGGCACCTTATACATTGCATTTTATCACATTGGAAAAAACATATTCTGCAGGTGCATAAGATTCAAATTATTTTGCCTGAGAAACTGCTATAAACACAAACAGAGATTTGCTTTCTAAAGATCTGAAATGAAGAAAAGCTGCCAAGTGTCTATTGGAAGAAAGCAGGACCTTCAAAGGTGAGGCTTTTTTATGTGATTTACACTTCAAATGATCTCTCTTTTTTCACATTGTCTGTTTAATTAACTACTTGTTGCATCATTACTTGGGCTCACCAACCTGATCAATTTCGCTTTCCCCTGGAAACAAGGGCTGTCCGTCACTCAGCTCCCCGAGGATACACCCCACCGACCACATGTCCACCGCCTTCCCATAGGGAGCCCTGAGACAAACAGACAAAATGTCAGTTATTGGAAGAATGTTAACAATGAATACTTTGTTAATTAGATGGTGGGTGATAATGACAGTGGTGAAAATGAGAAGGAGAAAGATAGGGGTGAAAATAAAGGCACCGGATTACGAGAATGAGGACGCTTCGGAGGAGGTGATGTTATTTGTGGTGCAGTAAAATAAAAGGATGGATGTTGTGATTCTGATGGAGAGGCTCATAAAGAAGACGGTCATTTCTGAGGGAACGGAGCTGAGGAGTCTGGTGAGAAATGGTGAGAGATCTGGCAGCAGAGAAGCAGAGGAGCGGTGGTGTTGGAGGGAGAGAGTATTTGAGTGGGCGGCATTCAAACGCTGTCTCAATAAATGTTCCAGGGCATTTACTAAATCAGGCTACAGCAGCGAGGCTAGATGACGTTCAGCTGTCTCCAAGCTAGAATGGACATTCAATGCAGCAAAAAGCACCAAAACAACACGAGCAACAGAAATCAAGAGCGAAACAGGAATTTGATGTGAGGATACGGTGAGTACACCTCGCTTCATGTCATAATGTTGTAGCAGGTGAATCATCAGCCTGCTCTCCCAGTGATATGAATTAAAACAGCGCGATTTGTGCACAAAGACACACACAAATAATAAAATAAGAAAAATCTAATAATATGAAACTCACCAGATGGGTGACATTAACCACAAAGGACAATACTAAAAGGAACCTTTGTGTTTTGTTAAGGTTGACTTAACTTTGTTACTGTTTGGGGTCCCACAGACCCAAAAGTTGTATGTATACTACTACTACTACTACCACTACTGCTACTACTACTAACACTAAGACCAATACTACTACTAATAATAATATATTAAACGTATATTATGTCATGCTACATATTGCAGTATTGTTACTGAAATTTAGGGTTAGTTAAAATAAGTGCTACACAATAATATCAGTATTACAATTGGTATTGGTTAATAAGGCTTTAAAATAAAATACCTGATGGGTAAATACTGCCAGTCAGTCTAAAAGTTTATTTGAAAGCGTTGCATAAAAATAAATATGTGATGTTTTATATGTAAGTTGAAACCATTTCTTTTTTTCCCCCCACAATTCTCCCAGTGAATTTCTACATTTAAAAAGCATTGCATTTTATGTCTGTATCTACACACCATCAGGTTAAGACTTACATATGGGAGAGACTTTACGTTCTCTGCAATTAGGTGGAAAAATATGTCGATACGTCAGCATCAACATCCGCAAAATGAAGTGAAAAATATTGGCAAATTGGCTATCAGCAAGAATCCGGTATCCTGCACCTTCACTTAAAATGTAATAAAACCTCAATAACAGAAACTGAACTAGACTTGGAGTCCAGGGGAAGTGTCACATAAAAGGTACTGGTAACTAGTCGTAACTAGTAGAAACTAGTCTCACTGCTGGGGTCTCTGAGAGAGAACAGAATTAAATAATCACTTTCAGACTTTTAAAATATGCTGCCAGTTTAGCAAATCTCATTAAATTATAAAAACTCATGAAGTATTAAGCTGGTACAATCACGTCAAGTATGTTTTTGAGCTGTTAAAGAAGTCCTTCAGGACTCCATAACACGCAACATTAGGGTTTAACTGGGGCTTCATAAATCTTCTTACATGAGCTAATTTTCACATAAAGTTTAAATTTAAAATCAATCCAAATTTTCTATCTGGCATATTTCTATTAGATTAATATATAACCTGATTAGACTGTGTTTTTCAAGTGAATGCAGTCTTTGGATTGAGTTTCTCTAGAATAATACATTAAAGAACTAAGTGTTCCTCTAGAACTTGAGCACTCAAGACAGGGGACATGTCTCTACCGCTTAATTATATGCATGACTGCAAGAAAAAAAAAATCTGATTTAATTATTTAGATAAATGGGATGGGATGGGTTGACATAATAATGTTGGTAATTGCATCAACTTAATATTGTGTGTACAGGGCCTTGAAAAAGTATTTGCCCCCTTCTCAAATTCTTATTTTATTTTATTATTTTCCCCCACTTTAATGTTTAAGACCATCAAGCAAATGTAAATATTAGATAAAAACAACCAAAGTAAACACAAAATGTAGTTTTTAAATGATGATTTAATGTTTTAAGTGAAAAAAGCCATCCAAACCTACGTGGCCTTATGTAAAAAAGTAATTGGCACCCTTGTTAAATCATGAATTAACTGTGGCTAAACACATTTTTTGAAAAGCTGAGTTCAATTTCACTGACCACACCCAAGCCTGATTACATCCAGACCTGTTCAATCAAGGAATCACTTAAATAGAAGCTGTCTGACAAAATGAAGTGGGCCAAAAGATCTCAAAAAGCTGCAACAGAATGCAGCGATCCAAAGAAATTCAAGAACAACTGAGAAATAAATTGACATCTATCAGTCTGGAAAGAGTTATGAGGCCATTTCTAAAGCTTTAGGACTTCAGCAATCCACGGTGAGAGCTATTATCCACAAATGGAGAAAACATGGAACAGTGCTGAACCTTCCCAGGAATGGCCAGCCGACCAAAATGATCCCAAGAACACGGCGATGACTCATCCAGGAGATCACAAAGATAACCCAGGACAACAACTAAAGAACTGCAGGTCTCCCTTGCCTCAGTTAGGGTCAGTGTTCATGACTCAACAATAAGGAAGAGTCGGCAGGAAAAAAAATGGCCTCCATGGCAGAGCTCCAAGGTGAAACCTGCTGCCAACCAAAAAGAACATAAAGGCTCGTCTTATTTTTTCAAACAAACATCTGAATGATTCCCAAAACTTCTGGGAGAATATTCTGTGGACTGATGAGACGAAAGTTCAACTTTTTGAAAGTCGTGAATCTCGTTCCATCTGACGTAAAAGTAACACAGCATTTCAGAAAAAGAACATCATAGCAACAGTCAAACATGGTGGTGGTAGTATGATGGTCTGGGGCTGCTTTGCTGCTTCAGGACCTGGACGACTTGCTGTGACTGATGGAACCATGAATTCTGCTCTCTACCAGAAAGTCCTGTAGGAGAATGTTCGGCCATCAGTTCCTGACCTCAAGCTTAAGTGCACTTGGGTTCTGCAGCGGGACAACAATCCAAAACACACCAGCCAGTTCTGAATGGCATAGAAAAAACAAAATGAAGGTTTTGGAGTGGCCTAGTCAAAGTCCGATCTGATTGAAATGCTGTGGCATGACCTTAAAAAGGCCATTCATGCTCGAAAACCCTCCAGTGATGCTGAATTAAAACAATTCAGCAAAGAAGAGTGGACCAAAATATCTCCACAGAGATGTGAGAGACTCATTGCCAGTTATAGAAAACGCTTGATTTCAGTTGTTGCTGCTGAGGGTGGTCCAACCAGTTATTAGGTTTAGGGGGCCATTAGTCTTCCACACAGTGCCAGGTAGCTTTGAATATATATATATATTTTTTTACTTAATAAAAAAAACAATAGAAAAAAATCATCATTTAAAAACTGCATATTGTGTTTACAATTTTGGGTTACCGCTGTCTGATATTTACATTTGTTTGTTGATTTTAAACATTAAAGTGGGGAAATATGCAAATAAATAAATAAAGAAAGAAAGAAAGAAAGAATCAAATTTTGGTGTTAGATGATTTAAAACTAAATTCAAGTTGAGGTAACTTAATTAAAGTTGTTCGAGATCGACATTGTTTCTCAGCGTGATTTGAATGAGAAATCAACCTAAAAACATCATTAGGTAAGTGGTAATTACCAATATGGTGTGTTGGTTGAACATGATTTCATTCAAAGTTTTTACAACCTAAACAGATAGTTACAAACGACTTCTTAAAGTGTACTTCTTAAGCAAAATAAACAGTTAAAACGTGTATAATCTGGGCCACCACGATAGCTCAATTGGTTGAGCTGGCATCCCATACTCAGGTACAATAGTCCCCGACACAGAGGTCAAGGTTTCAAGTCCCGCTCATGGCCCTTTCCTACAGGTTCTTCTCCCATTCTTCTTCCCCACTTTACTGTCTCTCTCTCTCTCAACTTTCCTATCAAGTAAAGGGAAAAAAAAAAAAAAAAAAAAGAGTATGATCTTAAAATGCCTGTTTTATGTAAATATGATGTTTTTGGATGAAAGGGAATGTACTGAGATTTGCAACAAAGACTGAAGTACTCATCCATCCATTTTCTATTCCTGCTTATCCTGTAAAAGGTGGAGAAGTTATTTTCTTGTATATTCCTAGTGTGTTTGTTTCCAGTAATTCCCTTGTGGACCAGTGAAGGTCTGTTGAAGGTGGTTGAGAAAAACCACCAGCTTGAACTACGAATATCATACTAAGATTTATATACAACCTATATGTAGTAAAACAACTTTCATTATCTGATACTAGGCATCGCCAGACTGCTATTTCAGATTAGAAGCTGCACTAGTACTGGTATTGTGGGGCTTTTTTTGGTGACTGTATTTATTCAGATTGAAATATTCCACATATCTGCTCCATCATTTCCCAGAAAACTGAGCGTGACACATTTGGAATCCCATTTGAGATCAGTTTTTGTTGGTATTATTACAAAACTCTGTGTTTTGCTATCACTTGCTATCACTGTTGATGCTAGGCAATGTGGCCTCATGTCACCTTGCACAAAAATGACTGTAATGACGTTTTCACGGTGAGTTTCACAGGTTTTAAATTTAGGAAAATGAGAGCAGCGGTATTGGATCTGGAATGAGTTATTGGAGCGTGGTATCGTGAGAGAAAATGATGGCTCGGCGTGTCTCCGTTTGATACAATCTTTAGAGAGCTTAACATATCTGGTGTTCTGAGAAAATCAGATGAATGCTCCTTCCCTCCCTCCCTTCTTGTTTCTCACAGTCTCCTGCAGACACACACACACGAGGACTCACCCCAGCAGCAGCTCAGGCGAGCGGTACCACCTTGTGGCCACGTACTCAGTGTAGTTGGCATCTGTTCCTTCAGACAGGTTACGAGCAAAACCTGCACCAGAGTAACACGGAAATGTATAAATCGCATACACCTGATTCTACATATTAGACATCCAGTGTGTTGAAATGCAGACAATCCACAGTGTCTCACATGAAGGTATAAATGGCCAGTGAACAGAGATAATAAGACTAATCGACAGTCATATCATTTGGACAGCCACAGTGACAACATGGTCATCTCCACATGTGACCAGGCTCTAATTTGTTATGTCACTGCAGGCGGTCTGAGACTGTGCTTTAGATAACTGTTCTGCAGAGAGTCCATTTTAAGCATGAAAAGTCGCAATAAACAGAACGCCAACTCCAACAGTGAATAACAAAAAAATCTCACCCCAGCTGACTCAGTGGGATTACATTAAGCAATTATGCAAAGCTAATTGATCTTGTGATTTTTCAAATACTCCTAATGCAGAGTACATACCTTGTAATTGTAAAAGGCAAAACTTATATTTTGCCATATTAATACATCTGATTAGTATTAGTGCTTAATATTATTAACCCAACTTTCCTGAAATGTATCTTTGGCAGATGAATTGTGATGTCAACCACCAGTGTATGTTTCACAGTGCTTGTTGGTGTTTACCAGTGGTAGAAATAATTCTGATACACAACTTATAGAGTGACAAATTAATAAACTGAGCTAAAAAAAAAACAAACTAGGCTACAAAACTCACAATTTACAGAAGAATGGTGAGGAAAAAATAGGATAAAATGGATTCATTCTGTTAAAGAAATGCCTCAATTTCATTAGTCGTCACCTTTATCTGAGAAGGGAAATGCACATAGGCTGTGTGGTTTTATTGTGGTTTTACACTTAAACTCGTAAATCTCAACTATTCAGCTTTTATACAATATGGTTACTGTTAAGAACAGAAGGAGCAAACTCACCAAAATCACAGAGTTTGAGAACATCCTCATTGCTGATGAGGAGGTTCTCTGGTTTAATATCTGGAAGAGAGATGCAGACAAAAGGCTGTTACAACATGTGTCAATCATTGTCCTGTGATATTCCAACACACTTATGAAACACACAATAAAAACATGTCTTCAATCTCCACTTTGCAAAGTTAAAATTCTGTCTGAGCCTCAGTTTTTGCTGTCATTAACACGTTTTCTGAAAATCCAAATTATAGTGTAAGAACTTGAAGGCTTCAAGATGTAATTTGTATACATAAGAGCAAAACATTACTACACATATAAAACCTACTTCGTAACAAATGATTTCTGGAGTCAGTCTGTGAATTGATCAAGTCAGACTGAGAGACCTTTTGTGCAGAACTTCGTGGCATCTAGCAGTGACGTTGCAGACTGCAGTCAACTGAATACCGCTGCTTTCCCAAGTGTGTACAGAAACTAGAATGGCTGCAACTTCAAGGTAAAAATGCAAAAGCCCCTTTCTAGAGTCAGTGTATATTTGTCTGTTCTGGGCTACTGCAGAAACACGGTGAATGCTTTTGGAAGACGATTTCCTCCGTCTGTAGACCTAAAGAGGTGATTCTAATCTAACAAAAACGACCATTTGCAGCTAGAGGTGATTACAAACTCATGAAAACACAATTATGAACTCTATATTCCATTTCCGCTGATAAATCCCTCCAAATCCTTCCCACTGGACATTTAAAGGTTCTGTGTGCAACATTTCAAAACCACTGGGTGTTGCTAGAGCAACAACATCTCAGACCTTTCTCCTCCCTTCACTTTCACTTACAACCAGAGAGGTTGTATATGCGAGAGCCAACAAAAAATAATCCAGCCACAACCAGTCACCCACGCTAACATTATAAAATACATGGGATGTGCAACATTGGTAGTTTCATCAGTCTGTTAAAGTGATGAGTCACTTTTCCAATGTACATTCAGATGTACCCCCAGTAGTGTCGGAGAGAGCGGCCGTACACACAGTGGTGATATTTGTTATTCACACAAGACGAGACAAGACACCAAGTGGTGAAAAATGCACAACATTGCATAAGCAAGCAAAAGACTCAATCTAATCAAAGCTAATAGCGGCTTATCAAAGTGTCCACATCACTAACAGCCTAGCATATTTATGATTTCCTAACCACTGAAAATGAATTTGTAATGTTTATCTAACTAAAAGAGCAGATCCTGATTTATCTTGTCCCCATGTCGGGGATAATTTAGAACAAATGGATCCTGCTGCTGTTTGACGCTGCAGGTACTTAATAAACTCAGAGGAAAGACTCCTAAAAACAGCTGGAAGCAACAAACCAAACTGTGACTCTATGTGTGACAACACACCTGAGGGGTGTACTCAGAAACAAGCATAGCCGGCAGGTTTTTTTGTGTAAGTCGGCCCCACAATAACCAAAGCCCCAGTCAGACTTCACAGGTATCACAATGGTGGTTATCGACTTTCTTTGTTAACTAAAGCTTTTTCGACACAGGCGTTTAACGTGCTGTGACTCTTTCTCCGTACAAAATGACACGATCATGTGCAGCTGCTTCAGTCAACAGGTTGTTTTAATGGAGAACAATGAGGAATATAAAAATGTATGATATACTTACTTTACCGATCAATGCAGCCATTTATTTTGTAACTAACAGCAGCACATGATAGATACTAAACTTCAGATATTTAAAGAGGATATTGTCTTGAAGTGCATTTAGGTCTGACACTGGCCCATAAATGCAGGATATCAGTTTATTTTTTGGCCAAATCAAAGCTGAATTAATATTACTGATTGAATATTCTCTTTGACAAATACCAGTAGAAAAATCCCTTTTCTAAACCATTTTCTATTCGCAGCAGTGTATTTATGTGATTTCTGCATCACCAGCTGAATACATGTCTGGTTCCCATAGCAACGTGATGCATAGTGTGTGATTCTGTAACTATACGGCTTCATTCACTGATACTAGGAACGTACAGATTAAAAGGTTTGCAGATAAAACACATTCCCTCAGCTGGGAATCTGTATCGCTCATGAAGAATCGTCTGGAATTTGTTTGAAGGGAGATGCTTCATCCAGCCAATTTAAATCTGAAGCTCTGAACATAACCTGCCAGGGTTACCTCCACAGCATCAGTTATCATGGAGATCTAGCAGGTTAAATAGAGCCACCTTCGTGACACTGAAAACTCTGACTTCAGACTCAACACATACCTCGATAACCCACTAATCTCGCTTCGTAGTCCAGCTTTGTGTCTGACGTGAAGAAAACTCCACAGTGTAACTCTGTAACTGTCCCAATCGACCCTTGTTGCTCATACTGTAATTGTACTGAAGAATCGATTATTCGCCTTTTTTTTGGGAATGTTCTTACACACAAGTTTTTTGGAAGGATATAAGTCTGTTTGTGAATAGAAAGCTTGCTGTTGAACTGCAAATTGACTGCAAAGATGTTGTTTTTTTTATTCATGCTAAGAAACTACCCTCAAAGACATTTTTTATTCTCAATCTTATTTTGATGTTGGCCAAATTTCATATTCATAGCTGTGAATATTTAAACCAAAGGCGCAAACTTGTTGTATTTGAGTCATTACTGTCCTCTTGTTTGACCTCCTTGAATTATTGCACTAATGTTAAGAGAGACCAAAACTGTACGGACAAAATTTGAATTGTAATGAGTAATTTATTTATTTAGTTATATTTTTTTCTTTTTCTGACTGAAACTGAAGCCTTGGACACTTGAGCCTTGAGTCTTGTTCTTGTAAATGTATTGCATATATAATTAAAAGAAAAAAAGCAGCTGTCAGAATCACATCGCCGCCCACATTCATTCACGGTTTGTCTCAATTTCCTCCCACAATCCTCCAGTAACCCAATCCTAACCTTCCACTCAGAATTCCACTCGCATTCATTTACTGTCCGGTCACGTACCTGGTTTTGTATGGTTTGACAAATTTTGTTCCAGTTTTCTTGTTTCTTTCTTGGCTCCCCTCATTATTAATCAATGTCAAACCCGCTACAACTTGCTGTTAAGTCCTGTCTCCATGTCAGGGATAATTCATTTATAAGTACAAGTAACTGATACAGTTATCAGCTCTGTTGTTTCATGTGTTTAAATGGGCTCTCTCACTTTGGAGACACTGGATTCTGACACTATAGGTATACAGAGGAAAGATTCTCTCTCTTGTGTTATGGCTGAATATTGTTGCTGAAATGTGGAAAAAAAATCCTTCCCTCAATCACTTCACACAACTGAAAGTACCTTATGCTTGTGTATTTGTCTGTTGATGTGACTGCGAGCAAATCGGACTTGTGCTTTGTTGAAAGTCTTATCTAACTTGGTCTACGCTAGTAAGATTGCCGTCACAACTTTGACAGAAAAGTATCCAGGGTAGGGATTGCCGATATTAGTGTTTTTTTCCCATATATTGGTATCGGTCCGATGAACAAACTTAGCTGATGTGAAAAACCAATGATTGTCTAACATTAGCGCCTTCGTCTCTAGATTTGATATTGCTGATATTTCACAGATGTTTTTACTTAAATGATCCTGGACTTAAAATATGTTTATGCAATAAAGAAGACTATGTGGTCTCATGTGGTATAGGCTTCTTTTAAATAGTTTTCACGTTCTCACAGTGCTTACTTATACAGATTTTTTGGTGTGAACAAACAATATCAACATCGGTAATACCGGTTATCGGCGATATCAGAAATCTTAATATCGGTATCGGCCAGAAATTTTAATATCCTGCATCACTAGTCCAGGGTGCACATTCAAACACGAAGTCGACACTTTCAATTAACAGAAATGTGCGCATATGTTCTCTCTGCTTGTGTCTGTTTTGTTCAGTGTGTTTCTGTTGCCACGGTGTGTTGGACAGGAGATGGCACGTGTCAGAACAGACACACCTAGGCCCCGTTTACATATAGCAAAAATGGGGATATTTCAATGTGTTTGAGCCTTTGGTTTACACGTAAACGAAGCTACAAGTCACCAAAAACGCAAACCGGCGACTTTATTGCTGCGAGGCAATGATGCTTGACCACTGCACCACCTTGCAACCCCGATCTGACGTGAACAATGTTATTTTTGAAAATATAGATCCGTTTTTGTAAAAACCCAGCTATGTGTAAATGTGACCCTAGACTGGACCACAGCAGACTCAAACAACTCTCATGACTCAAACTTAAAACAGCAGTGGAGACTCTCACACTGAGTCAAAGTGACTCGAGTGCACATAGACTCTAAATTCTGAATGCTCTGGACTTCACTTTTGCTTTTCCAGAGTGGTGTGGGAGGACACTCTCTGTTTATAAGGCAAAGCAGGACCACAGTTTCAAAGGGAGGGACACACAGGCATATTCGTGCATGTGAGTCCCTCCCTTTGAAACTAATGATAGACTAACAGCCAGACAGACTGCCACAATATAGAACAGTGTCTCTCATACATACAGATAAAATATGACTTGGGGTCATAGCTTTTAGATATCTTTACATGATAGATGTATGTTAAACATCTTGCATCTTACACCTTTCAGTGATCAAAATGTGTTTTTGAGATGCAAGACAACACTGATATTTTTGCAGTAGAGGCATAACTGTACAAATAGCAATGCACTCCTCACCTCTGTGTACTATCTCATTCTTGTGACACCAGTTGATGGCTTTGATGAGCTGGTAGATGTAGCTTCGAACTTTATCAGGCGGCGCACCGTTTGGCAGTTCTTCTAAAAGCTCCAGCATGTTCTGCAAACCACAACAAAAATGACCTGTAAAAGGAGCTGGGATGTGCAGCAGCAAACTAAGTGGGTTTTGGCTTCATGAAAGGGTTTTTTAAAATGTACGAGGTGTGTCAGAAAAGTTCCAGGACTGGTGTCACAAAAGATATACTTCAAACCCAAACTACAACTTTTCCCCTTCAGACGATCAACCAGCACGTCTACAAAGAGAGCGTTTCCTTTGTTCAGTGCACGAGAAGAGGCGATAGTTGTAGCAGGACAAGCGGTGGCTGCTTCACCATGACAACATGCCTGCTCACAATGCCCTGAGCATCCGACAGTTCCTGGTTGAGAAGAACATCGCCGTGCTGGAGCAACCTCCCTACTCACCCCACCTGCCTCTGTGTAATTCTTTCTTCTTCCCCAAGTTCAAGAGGGTCATCAAAGGGACCTGTTTTGAAGACATGGACAACATCAAGGTGGCTGTGATGATGGAGCTGCGGAGGATCCTGGAAAAATCCTTCCAGGAGTGCATGGCAGCATGGCAGAGAAGGCTGGGGAAGTGTGTTAGACTCCAGGGGGATTACTTGGAAGGGGAAAACTTGTAGTTTAGGTTTTGGATTTGAAATATATCTTTGGTGACACCGGTCCTGAAACTTTTCTGACACACTTCATAAATGATATAAAAGTCTATTCATCTCCCTGTTTTTTTACATTTTTAAATCAATTTTTGAAAATGTATTTTCAACCCTAAAAGGGGGATGAGAGAGGACACCATGCTAAATGACTGGAGTACAGTATGAAAATAAAACCTGTCATAAAATAAACACTTGGCTGGATACCCTGGCAACACAGTGGGGAATACCATTACTCACCAACAGCACAGTTCATATGTTGCCATGGTGACACTTTTTTTTTTTGTGCTTAACTGAGCAGTCTCAACACCCTGAAACTTAAAAGTAGACTCGAGTCTAGATACAGCAGAAAAGAGAGGAGGAATGTGAGAATAGCACGGAGGCACAGAGAAAGAATAACAGTGGCTTTGTTAAACCCACCCTCTCGACATATTCAAAGACAAGGTAGAGCTTCCCCCTCCTGCGAAAAGCCTCCTTCAGCTCCACGATGTTGTCCTGCTTCAGCGTCCGAAGCATCTTCAGCTCCCGAAGCGTCGTCTCCTTGACCTCCTCATTTTCTGTGTGGAAAATTAAAGAGACGGAGTTGCTGCAGCAGCTCTGCTTTTCCCTTTTAGTCCTTCTCCTTTCCTCCCTCACTCACCTTCGCTGTCTTTGAACTTCTTAATAGCCACCAGCTCATTGGTTTCCTGGGAGGAGACGAGGAAATGAGATGTATTAGGAGCAAACAAAACAAGTTTTTGCGTTAGACGAAAAGCTTCAGCAGCTTTCTCATCGATCCAGCTACACACACAGATAGACACATACGAAGGTACATGGAACACTGAGATCAAAGTACAAGTAAGAAATAGAAAGTATTTGCAGAACAAAATGTGAAACTGAAACAAGAGGACTGGTGAAGATATTTAAATTCACCTCCTGCCCACTCTTAACATGAAAAAAAGTGTCCAAGTTGCCGTGGCACTGCCAACACAATAGCCATGCTGTTGCTCTCATTTCAGTTATTCTACCACAGGGCACTAACAAACACACACACACGTACACAAAACACACGTCTTTTGCATAGTTAATATGCATGTTTGGTCTCCTTCAGTCTCTTGCAGGTTGCTTGATTGACCTTGATGAATTTTGCAAGTCAGTGTGATTGCAGAGTCAGAGCTTTACCGTAGCTTTGCTTCAAATGCTGTGCTGGAATGCTCAAGTTGCCCCATCACAAGATGTGCAGATATATTGAAAAACAATAATAACAATAAAAAAGTTTTTGTGTGTGATTGCATGCTTTATAGAATTATTGTGCATTCAGCAAGTTTACGAAATGATTTAGTTCCAGGAAATGTGATTTTGCTGCAGCTTTTCACAGGTCAGAGTGGCAGTTTCTTTGGTCTTTAAAAAACATAAGATATCTTTTTGCAAACAGAACACTCGCAGGATAATCACACGTTTTATTGGATTTATCTCTGCTGGCTACATCCAAGCTGGAGTCAGGAAATAGGGGAAATATAACCAGATAGAAATCACTCTTTCGCCACCATTTTGCAGTGGCATATACAAAGAAATATTAGGTTATACTGTGAGCTTCATGTCAGTGGAAAGGAGATTTATGCTGAGTTCTGAAGGCCTAAATAGCTGTTTAAGCTAAGTGAGAAGCTACAGCAAAATAGGCATCATTCTAGAGGCTAAAGCATCTGAAGGTATTGAGGAACATGTTTATAATGAATGGAAATCAGCATTTGGAGGACATGTCTCAGAAAACAAACAGGAACAAGGGGTTTTGCAATCAGAAAAGTGAAAACATTATTGTGTGCTTCTGGTCATTTTAGCCTGTGATTTACTGGCCATTTGGGTACAGCACAAAGGAGCTGTGACCACAACATTATCATATAATCACCTTTTGAGATGATATAGTGAATTTAACAGTTGAATGTTTACACCCCCAGCAGTCATTGAGCAGCAATATCTTTTATTTTGAGTTGTGTTTGTGCCCATCTCAGGGATACAAGTTGAATATTCAGTCAGTTTTAGCTCTGATTTTGGTCTCCACCAACTCCCGAATTAAATATCCGACTCGTATCCTGCTAGATGCTCCACTGTGTTCATCATCATGTTGCAAACTCGTCCCTCGGCTTCGTGGTGCTGTGCAGGCAGTGCAGTCAAAAACAACACTGTGGAAAGCAGTGTTGTGCTGGTCATTAAGCATACAGGGATAAATCCCAATGGGCTGCTGCATCAGCAGGCAAGTGATTTGTCAAAAAAAAATCTGTAGTTTTTACAGGTCATGTACTAAAATATCTCTTTCCTGGGGCTTTCTGTGTGCTTGTCTTTTGGGGTGTGCAGTGAGAGCTTGGCTCATGCATGTTCATACACTGTAAAAGAAAAAAAAAAACTTTTATTTTTGGAACATTTTTCTACTATTTTACTGATTTTCCCTCTTAAATTACAGATAAGTAAATAAATAAATGGTAAAATCTCAGAAAAATTTATTCATGGTAATTGTTATATGGTAATGACAAAAAAAACAAAAACAAAAACAAAAAAACACAGCAGCAACAACAACAAAAAAATCTGGATTTGTATAAATGGCAATTCATTACTTTCTGTTTGATGATAAAATTACACTATTATTACTGTATTTATATCAGCAAAAAATTGAATCATTTTACAGTTGTATCATTATTTGAAAGGAAAATTGTGTATATTATTGTTGATGTCCCTGCTTTGTTAAATCACAGATAATATATATTAAAACCTGAGAGAAGAGTATTAATTTACAAAAAAAAAACTGTACATATTGTATTTTTACAAACAGTAATTTGGTCTTTTACAACGTGTGACTGTGTTTAAATCCACAAAATTTTATTATTCACAGATATTTGCATTACAATGTTCCATCATTTTTAATTGTAGTTTTTTTGGCACCTTTGCTGCCAGATTTTTATAGCTTTTTTTTCAGTGTATATATTTAATACTCACCAACCTGACTGAAGCACACAGTAATTTTATACATGCTTCAAATACTGAGTGGACTGTGGGTATGTCTAAAACCACGTTGCTCCTTAATTAATCCCTTTTATTGCTTCAGTCTGTGTTGGAGTTAGTCTTACTCGCTGTCATTTCTTACTGGAATTCAGTGTCATAAGCTGTGTTTCTTGTCACAAAAACTGTGGAAATGTTTGTGAAACATAGAAACATACATCTAAAATGCAAATTGTGTTAAATTAAATTGTGAAAGTGTGTATGTATTCACAATTGTAACATTGTCCTTGGAGCCTGAGGCTGCAGTGGGTGACGACAGTGGGCCACTCTCATGTCACTCTGTCGTCCTTTTGTGTGCACAGGGTCAGACAACAGAGTCGGCCTCAGCGCTGGAACGAGGCAACGCAGTGAGAAGCTGCACATCACTGGCAGCGCTCCTGCTCACAAAAGCCAATTGTCCCACTGAAGATGCTTTTTTTTTTTTTTAAGAACCAAGTTATCTGTTTAGAGATGTTCACCAAAATGAAATGAAACAACATGGATTTACAGCTCTGACTGCACTTAATCCTGAGAGTAAAGTTACAGTTTTCATATATCTGAAGAGCAAACCGGGAGCTTTACTGTGTTTGCCAGGCAGGCTGAAATAAAAACACATTGCACCAGCCATTCAGCACATGTGACATTTCCGATTCTGTGGCAGCGTCTTGCAATGTGCTGATGATGCTCATGTGTGGTGTCTCTGACCTCCACTGGTTTACCTTTGGAGCCACTGTTAAGTCAGCACACCCAAAAATAGCCTCGAGCTCGCTAATGCTCTGCTGATGGCATGGAGAGGTTCTGATTGTCACATTACACAAAACAGAGAAGCCTGAATGTTTGACTTTAACTCAGAGACATCCCCCCTGAATGTTTTACTGTAGCAAACACTGTAACAAATACTATTGCAGTAAAATACTAGCAGCTAGACGATGAGATTTAACGTTTAATACTGTGACTACACCACAATAGCACGCTTTATATAGTGTCGACTCTGTAATCAACATTATCCGTAGCTGTAGTTGCATGTAAATTACAACATTTTCTTCAGTTAAAGTGTAGTAATTATAGATATATACTCATGTGTCTTTAATGTTTATGATTCAGAATTGAGATCTAACAACTCTGTTTAACATTTAAAAAAGAAGAAGCACATAAAACAATCAAGAATAGTGAATAAGGTAGATTACATTTTATGGACAGGGGACATTTGTTCAAAGGCCGTGACAGATTATAGTCTAAGTCTTAAATATTTTTAGAAACCCAGTAAATAAAATTAACTTAATCTTTTAAGTTAAAGTATCCTGCTGTTTATATTTTTTTTTCTTGATTTTGGCCCCAAAAGGGCATCAAATTTAGCAGTTTGAACTATGTTTTTTTAGAATTTGGCTGGATTTTTACTGATAAACTACAGAATACAGGCAAAAACTAGGCCAAAGGCTGATATAATAATACATACAGAAAAACAACATGCATTTTGCTGCATTTGATTTAAGTATGATTGTGATCTGTAGTTTATTCACTGGATTTCATTTATATCTGCTTATTGACAGTTTAAATCCCATTTACTGCTTCAGGAAATGTCCTGTTTTATTTATTATATAGCAGCAGTCTGAGATTTGTGGCTCTTAACCACATCAATGACCTTTCACTCTTCAAACATATAGTAAAATAAAACAAAGTCAGATTTTACATGAGAGACTTTGACAAAACGTAATTTAAAACAGAAGCAGTTTGAAGAAACAAAGATCAAACAGCAGTTCGTTAATATTTTGTTGATCATCCATTAGACAAAAATTGAATTCAAGGGGATGTTTCCAAATTGTGAATGCTAAAAAAAAAGAACAACAATTCCTTAAACAAATAATCAATTATCAAAGAATCGCTTCGAGTTAATTTTCTGCTGATCACCCATCAGTAATTAATTAACAAATAGTCCAAGTATTCCAATACTGCACAGAAACACTATATAGGCACCAGGAAAACGCTGGCGTGTAGGTTGTGCTATTGTCATTCCCAAAACACAAATTCAAGCTAACACATAAGCCTCCATACACACACCCACATACGCTAATACAACACTTGCATAAAGTGGCAGAACATTGCACAAACGCTGGCACACATTCACTCGGCTAATTAAATGTTCCATCAAACACATACTGTACTGTAAAGTATACATAATTTATACAGGGGCACACATTTAAAATGCATTTCAGTGCTTTGTGGTACGGTTAGTCCACTGTGTCGCCTGGTTGTGTCTCCAGCCTTTTATTCTCTATGAATCCCTCAACCGTATACAGGTCTGCTATAGTCTCCTAACAGGGTGACCCATTTACCATCAGCATAGTCTCCGTGTTCAATACCTCCCTCTGCACATCCTCCTCTCCATCGCACACACACTCACATGCTGCTTCTCTCTCTCTCTCTCTCTCTCTCTCTCTCTCTCTCTCCCTCTCTCTCTCTCTCTCTCTCTCTTCGCCACCCTTTTCTCTTTTGCCCTGCTTCCAGCT